CATACATACATACATACATACATACCATACATACATACAGACATACTTAGATGCTTAGATGGCCTGTCTTCACTTGTCGTGCAAGTCCCAGCAGGTGTGTCCGTCCGTTTCTGTCTCTCGCTAGCGTCATCCACGATGTTGATATTGAGTCTGTTTTGCTTACGTGACACACAACTACGTTTACTCCAATTAGCTGTTCACAAAAACTTCTAAACTACTGATTGTTATTTTTCTGGATATGTTCTTAACAATTTGCTGATCACGTATTATTAGTAACACTCTCCATGAATGAAAGTTGTACCTCCGCCTTTTACAAAATTACGATGCAAAGTTGTGGGTAGCTATATAATGCTGCCGTTAAGCTTAACATAACTTTGACACTTGGATTATGCTTTTGAATGGCTAAATATACATGTGCATCAAAAAATTACCTCAGTCGGATTTTTTGCGCTTTTAAAAGCATTTTTGAGCCAATGGAGGTAGTGCCTCCAACTTACGTGTGCACTGTCCGCAATAGCACGTAGCGCAATACGCGTTATGGCGGTTTCTTTGTGAATATAATAAATAATGTAAATCGAATTCAGATCGGAAATAACAGCAAGGATTCATTACCTGACACTCATCTTGTACTACAAAAAAGGACTGTAAAAAGCATGCACATTTAGGCAAAAAGTTTGTTCGTTTCACCTCTGACTGTGAAGTTAAGCAGTATCCCAATTTAAACTGAAGTGAATAAAATCGCATAAAAACCTTTAAGAACTAATAAAAGTCCTTTTCACGGAAGAGTGGATTGGAAATTAATTTTCCCCTTCTTTTTTCCTTCCGGTTTTTTCCCTTTTTTTTCACAAGACACATACGATTGGCTGGGAGTTTAAGATCTGAAGTGCTTGGTAATTGAAGCAATGCAAAAAATTCCTTCGCAGTGTTGCTGACGGCGATAAGCTGCTACAAGGGTTTTTCCATAGCTACACGTTGTAGTTATATGATGATATCCCGATCTACAGCAGTCTACGCTAAACAAGTCTCTTTGCAACCCTACTGGTGTTCAGGTACTGTTGCAGTGAACCAATGAATGACCTTCTACTCAGGAATTGTCGCAATATTAAGTTATCCTTGTAAAAGCAATTATTCATGCTTCCTTACCATATTGGCAGAATCGATAACAGCTGATGCAGCTTCAACAATGACATTCATACTGAGTAATTTCTTTCATCCATTTGTATAAACAGTTGTTTTCAAGACTGCAAAACTTTGATTTCCCAAATTTCTCATTGCTGATGTTAGTGTAAGGTTTTGAAGGCGTTTCTGAATGCTATGAAATTTCAATAGAAAAACAGTAAAATATAAAAGGTGCTAAAATGTTGAAACTAAGAACAGCCTCAATGCTAAAAAAGGTGGGACTTGTCTACAACAAAGAAAAGCTGAATTTGAGAAAAAACTTGGAAACTCATGACAACATTTACGGCTACTATCTGAAGTTGGGAGCAAAGAATTCGCTCTGATTCTACTCTGGCAACAATCAGGCGCTAAATTTGCAGCGAACCGGCAGTGCCTTGATCTTTGCAGTAGCCTACAGTCACAATCATATTTTTCTTAGTCGACTTTTACATTTTTCCTATTTTTTATTCAATATCTGTGATTTGGTGGCTGTTTTTGATAGAGATGCAGACCATTTGTACGTACCCTATTCGGCTATTGTCGTTAACAGCTTCTATCATTGAAAAAACAAAGCCGTAGGCGTGTGACAGATTATAATTACACTTCTGCTCCTTGCCATGCTACGATATCTCTCGTAAGTTTTTGAAGGTTTTTTTTTCTTACGGAAACAAATTTGTTTATTGTTTGTTTCGTCTTTCACTCGCTAGCCTTAACCCAGAGGAATCACGGAAATGGACAATGCTGACGCTCAATTTTACCAATAGTGACGTAAGCCAGTTAATGAGCTAATTTACCAAAATAGCTTTGCCAATAGGAAGACAATGAGCTTAATTTACCAAAATAGCCTTACCAATAGGAGGACACTAAAATAAAACCTCATCATTGCAACCAGTATGACGTTGGCTGAGTTTTCTTCTGACTTCTTACATTCATTTGTTTTCGACCGGACTGCAC